CTTCTTCCCTTAGAGACAAGAGTTATGCAATTTGGGAGTCTTTTAGATAGACCCACTGAAGGGGCACTCCAAGTGCCTCACCCTGTGTCCCTGTTCAGCATGGAAGAAGCCAGAGCGGTCTGTGTCCCTATTCCCTATTGGCAATTTGGGTAACCCCTTCAGAGGATGGAGTGATAAGAATAGGAGGTAGGAATTGGCTAGGCAGTTAGGGTAAAAAGACCCCAAAGAAAAGTAGCCAGTTTCTTGGCAAAAAGTCAATATGTCCTTGGGCCTGTTAGCAACATACTCTGTCCAAAGGCCAAAAATGTCAAAAGTATTCGGGAGCTAGGATCTAATTCTTTAATTCTTTTAAAGATTTTAGGGTTACCTCTTCAGAAGGGGAATGTTTGAGGGGAAGGAGTGGGCATGGATTTGATCAAAGTAACTTATGTATGAAATTCTCAATAAATTTTTGCAAAAATTAAAAAAAAACTCCATGTGGAAACTCATTTGGATTACACTCTGCAACCAATAATAGACAGGGGCTGCGAGTCCCAATCTCTCTCAACATACATCCCTCTGACCTGTGTGTGTGACACCCAGGCATTCTGTGCAATCTCTAAGACTTGTAAGTAATAAATTCCATATTTCTAAACAAAACAAAACAAAACAAAGCCCACACACAAAAAAACCCTACTTGGAGGTTGTCCCTAGTCACTCATTATGCCTCATAAAAACATCTAGAGCCCAACTCCTAATGACCCATGGAGTCTACCCAATTGGCCAGTCTCAAGAAAGACAACTAGTGCTGCAAAATTTACTACTTAACAAGATAGCAAAATGCCCACGTATCTGTCCAATTATGGATGGCACACAAATGGCACACAACATAAGAACAAGGAATCTCCTTTAACTCTTATAAAAGAACTCCCATTCATTTTGGCGTCCATTCTCTTCCTCTGAGAATTTGGCAGCTGCATCACTACCTCTCCTTTTAGTATTTCTTTAATAAATCTTTACTCCCCTGGTTCTAGTCTGGCAAATACTTTCATTTCTGTGTCTTTGGTTTGTAACTGTCATTCCATGCAGGACATAATGTACTTCCCTAAACTCAACCTCACAGGTCTCCAGCTTCCACAGATCACTCTTCTTTGCCACAGTGGCTTCTGGGGACTCTAAACAGTCCTCATGGCCACCTTTGGGAAGTGTTCCTTTTCCTGGGGGACACGAATGAAGTTTGATTTGCCCCAGATGGGGTATGAACTACACACCAAAGAAATGATTTCATTCGAGTTGAACTTGGTGAACCAGTGAGTTTCTGTGGTTTACAGGAGCATGGGTGAGGAGTTATTACTTGCAGTTGAATTTTAGAGAAATTCTACCTCAGCATGGGTGACAAAAACTTGAAAGTTGCATTGATGGAGTCCAGCCTTCAGTTAACCTTCCACCTGATATACATGCTAGCACCTCCCCAGGACCTTAAGCAGCCTGGGCAGGATTACATGCAGCTGCAGGCAGGGGAGTGTGTGCCTGCAATGTCAGGTGAGGGTCTAAGGCCCCACCTCTGTCTAAGAAGGAATCTCAATAGACTCAATTTTATGAGCCTTATGGGGGTAGTTATGGCTCCTCTGATTTAAGATTGCCACTGCAGTGGTCATGTCACAACCTGAGGACAGAATTTCACAGGAGGAAAGGGGGAGGGGGCCACAGGTGGGGACTGAGCAATGGGTTTGTGACATGGTTAACTCCAGATCCTGTCTCCAGAAATAGTCTATAGGTTTGAGAAACAAACTGGGTTTTGAAGATGTAATCAGTTTGTATTAGTTATTTTCCTCATTGCTGCCACAAAATACCTGATCAAAGTAACTTAAGTGTTTATTTTGGCTCACAGTTCAGGGGAAGTCCATAATGGCAGGGAGGGCATGGTTGCAAGAGCAAGATGAAGCTGGTCACATTGTGTCAGCAGTTGGGAGGTAGAGAGGAACAAATGCTGGTGCTTAGTTCATTTTCTCTTTATTCAGTCTGGTACCCCAGCCAGTGGAATGTTGCTGCCCACAGTAAAGGTGGGCCTTCCCACCTCAGTTAATCTAATCTAGATAATCCTTCACAGGAATGCCCAAGCTGACAGTATTAGCTATCATTTGGATACTATATTATTTTGTATTTGCCTTCTTCTTACTTTTCATTTCTCTTCTGCCCTCACTCCCACTTCCCTGAAATTACAACCTCTAATGAAGCACTAGCATGTAACTCAAATTTTTTTTCTAGAGAATCCTGTTAACCAACACAGAATTTAAAAAAATGTGGACTTGAAGTTTGCAATTAAGATAGAAAGATGTAAAAGTTTTGATGCATTCAGGAAAGCTTGGTATTTATAACAGATTAAGGGGTAGACCTGGGTTCTACAACCATCATGAAGATGGGTTGATGAATTTAAGGGACAAGGGGGAAAGAGTAGCTATGGAATCCTGCCTCTAGGAGATTATACCATATCCATGGTAGGTGGTCACAGACAGGCAACACCAACAACTTTTAAAATAACATATATGCCTTTCCAGAAAATGCAGAAAGAAGTTAGATGAGACTCACATCTGAAGGATGAAATTATTATTCACAGCATCCCTTGAAATTAATAAGTGATGATAAGAAGTAATTTGCATCATTGCGTTGGAAAGAATTAGAGTGAAAAGTGTCTGTGTCTGCTAGTGACTCTCTTTGGTGAAAGCCTTGGAAGTCTGTGCTTTGTTCTCTAAGGAGGGTATAGTGTCTCTTGTAAGTGCAGATCACATTACTTAAGGCTCACCACAGTCCAAGGAAGTAGACATTATTATCCTCCCCACAGTATAGATCAGGAATAGGAAGCTGTGATTTTAGGCACTCTGTCCAAGGTTACACAGACTCAGGATTTGAATTAACTTTTTCAAAACCCCAGCTGTGTTTTTCGAGACAGCTGTGGAGGGGCTGAAGTTCACTAGAGATTTGAAAGTTTTAGCTGATTAGTGGCTCTACCTCAGCAATGGCTGAGACAAAAGGGGAATTTCTCAAAGACTGAGAGAAATTGGACCCCTTTAAAGTTATGACAGGTAAGGCAATCTATGTTTGGATCAGAGACCCATAATTATATAGATTCACATACATCTTTTTCAGATATGCATAAATTGGGGGAGTATGTGGAATGTTGTGGAACTAAATGTATTTGTATGTGTTCAACATACTGGATAATTGACTCAATTACCCATGTGGGGTTATTCACTTTTAATTTGCAATCTGGCTTCTCCTCTCACAGTGTTCTTGGGTTGCTCCAGGAATGCCAACTCATTTAAATAATAATTTTAGGAAAGAAAATTAAATTCGCTCTTTTGCCAGCTCTTGAAAAGTCTACTATGAAATGTAACTCTAATACATCCACCATCTTTTCATCATTCAATGGCTTTATATTATCACAGGATTCTATTTCTTTCCATAGATTATCACAGTAATTTCCTATATAGCTTTCGTGTTTATCTCTTTCCAATAAGATCATCATATTGCTGACAGTAATGTTAAAAACAAACAAAACCATAACACCCCTCAGGCTCCACAAACGCGCGCGCGCACACACACACACACACACACACACACACACACAATCCCAAACATTTAATGACTAAAAAACCATAACACCCCTCAGGCTCCACAAACGCGTGCGCGGGCACACACACACACACACACACACACACACAATCCCAAACATTTAATGACTACCCATTTATCTCAAGATTAAGTGCACAGGCCAAAAACCCTCATTGAAACTACATCTAGTTTTACTTTTGGATGGTCTGTGAAACTCCATTCAAACAATTCTCTTCCTCAGCGTTTGCTCACTCACTGCCTTCTGATGAAATACCCTAGATCTCACAGAGATCTAAGTCTGCCTCCCCAGTGCTGGGATTAAAGACTAACATTAGGACTGGCAGGAAGCTTTCTTGATCACACCTTCCAGCCCTTCTCTGAATCCCCTTAAAGCACCCCGTTTGTTTTTTTCCTCTAAGGCAGATAAAGGTGTTTGTGAGAGTGGAATCCCTACTCTCCTGTGAGATACTTAATGACACTCTGCAGTGATTCATCTCCCGGATTATGCTATGATGGACCCAAAAGAGAGGCTCAAGAAATACCTGTCTATTTCAATTGCTGGAAAACCCCAGAATTTTGGTCCTTAAAAAAAATCTTCGGTACCTAGCTCAGTGCTTGGCATATAGTGGGGTCTCACTGTATCATATATCGCTGAAGAATTGGACCAACATGTGCAAACGGGGCTCTGAAGGATGCAAACTCAGAAGGGGCCAATCGCAGGGGCGGAAGGAGCTGGCAGCTCGATCTCTCCCTACGAGAATGCTCCCCAGGCAGCTCCCCCGACTCTCTTCGCCCGCAGACGCCGCTCGACTTAAAAAAAGTAAATACTATATATGCTACCTGTGCATGTGTGCACAGACCTCTATGCACATGTGTAAAATGCACACACGTACACACCTTTAGCCAGGAATATAGATATACAGGTAAACAAAAAAATATATGTGTACACCCTCGATCGCAATACGGTTAGAGTGGCAGACGGGAGACGGTCACACCAGGGGTAAATACGTCTCTCGCCCTTTTTGGACCATGAGACCCGTCTTGGTCAAGGCATCCAGCTCTCCTCAGCCCGAAGGCGAAACCGGCGGCAGCGTGACTTGGGTCTTCAGGGCTTCCGTCCGGCGCGGCTGTCATTGGTAGGGACGTGCGCAGCGGACAGTCAGCGACTGGTGAGGGAGCTTCCAGTATGGCGGCGTCCGCGGCGCTGATCCTGACCGAGAGCCCCAGGTAGCCGTCGGGAGCGCCCGGCCGCGCGGGGGTGACATGTCAGGGCGCGCGCAGGGGCGTCGCTGCCTCCTGCAGCTGGCGCGCGGACCGGGTCACGATCTGCGGCTTCACGGAGCGTGGGCGGGGCGCGGAGGGCGTGGGCGGGGCGTGAACGGTGAGCTTCCTGGGACTGAAGGTGCCCGTCCTCGGGCGAGGGTGGCAATGAACCTGGCCATCTGGGTCAGTACTGAGCTTGTGCTGTGGGTTACTTAGCAGTGCAGGTAGTGGAGGGTCCAGAAGTTACCTGAGTTCTGGCCAGTCACGTGGAAAAGTACTTCCGTTCTTACTTATCTCAGGCATAAGGACGGTGAGAAGAAAGACTAACTCTGGTACTACCTGGGTGGTTAATAACAGGTGTTGTGCTAGCCGGGTGTGGTGGCTCTTGCCAGTAATCCCAGCACTCCTGAGGCAGAGGCCAGCGCATGGATGTCTATGAGTTTGAGGCTAGCCTGAGCTGCACAGCGAATCCAGGCCTGCCAGAGCTACACAGTGAGACCTGTTTCAAAAAAAGAAAAACCACGCGAGGCGTGGTGGTCCGCGCCTGTAGTCCCAGCCCTTGAGAGGCAGAGGCAGGTGGATCTCTGTGAGTTCGAGGCCAGCCTGATCTACATAGTGAGTTCTAGGCCAGCTGGGCCTACAGGAAAACCCTGTTTCAGAAAGACCAAAAAAAAAAAAAAAAAAAAAAAAAAAAAAAACGAAACAAAATAAAGCCCTCCCAACCCAACCAACCAACAACAATGACAACAAAACCCTTTGTGTTTACAATCCCTTTGAAAGCCAGCCCATAGCTCAGGCCAGTGGTTATTGCCTCATAACTCCATCTAGCCAGGCGTGGGCACCATTGATTTAGTTTCCATTTTATGCCTTTTTTAGTTTTTTCTGTGTTTGGTTAAGATTGCCTGACCATAGTGGTGGTACTAAGTCCCCCGAGCCCTTTACTATGTTGCTCATGGACTCACAGTCTCTGCAGCCTCACCAACCAAGCTGGCACAATAGGCCACCCCACCACACCCTGCTCAAATTTCCCCATTATTTAAGCAAAAACTTCTCAATTTGTGGGAACATAAGAAATACTGAAGTATGTAGGCCAATGCTGAGGTTGGAAAACAGTAGGCTGCACTTCGAAAAAGAGAGTTGGCATCCTGAAGTTTTCCCTTCTTCCTGGATTTCTTTTTTTCTGACAGCCTGTTCTTCAAGCTCATATCCTGGGGAATGCACATGACGTCATTCAACTGCATTCACTATATACACAGTCGTGCTTACCACATTATTTGAAATTCATTATTAAGTGAACCAGGTTTTAAAGTATCTGTGCACCTCATAACTCCAAATCATTTTTAATATTACCGTCAGTATCCTTTATGTTTTTGGTCTAATCCCCTAAATGCTGCTTCCGGCTTCCCACTCCTTTCAGCATTCTCTTTTGGACTAAGTGGTTGTTTGAATACCCACTACTAAATTACTGCCATTTCCCCACAGTGTTATGTGCCTTCCCAAGTAATTTGTTTTGCCTAAAACAAGAGAAAACTTGTCAAATGGACTTTTCCAACAAAATGCTGCTTTTTTTTTTTTTTTGAGAGGGTATCTTGGAAATGCTGATTTCCTGACTTTGTGTCATTTGCTTTACTTTATTTCACTGAGATTTATGACATAGCTTATCCGAATTGTTGAAAAAAAACCAAATAGGCAGCAACAGCAAGTATATTTAAAATTTGCTTGAATCTGTTTTGTAAATTTATTTAGCATGAAGAAAGCTGTGTCACTGATAAATGGAATAGATATAGGACGATTTCCACGACTGCTTACCCGAATTCTTCAAAAACTCCACCTGAAGGTTTGTAGTTTTGTCTTTCTCTGGCTTGTGAAATGTGGATTCCACTGAAACTGTGCTATTATTTCAAGAATGTTTTTTTTTGAGAAATACTGTTCTTTAATGTGTTCTCAGGAATGCTGGGTCTGTGGAAGACTGGGTAATGTCTTCTGGTCAAAAGTTCAGGAAACTTCGTATTTGATAACTAAGTTTATTTTTAATTAAGGAACTTTTCAGGATATTTTACATACTAGTATTTGGGTCATGTATTTAAGGGTGAAGGTGTTTGACTTTGGAACTGTATTATCATGGTATATTGGAAATAATGTTCTATGGAACATACTTTGGGAAAATACTACTTTTATTCTTCTTGTTAAAAATAATGCAGAGAGATGGCTCCTGGGTTAAGAGTGCTTGCTGTTCTTGCAGAAGACGTGGTTTGGCTCCCAGCACTCATATGATGACTCTCAACTGCCTGTAACTCCAGTTACAGGGGATGGGAAGACTGTTTCTGGGCTTTTGCATGTATGTGGTACACATAAACTCCTGGAGGCACACACACATTGTGATGCTTTGAATGAGAATGTCCCCCATAGGCTCCAAGTATTTTAACATTTTGTCCCCAGTTGGTGACGCTGTTTTGGGAGGTCTTAGAAGGGATGGCTATGCTGGAGGAAGCACATCACTGCGGGCAGGCATAGAGAGTTCTTAAGCCTTGCCAGATCTCAAGTCGCTTTCTTGCTTTCTGTGCCTGCTTGAAGATTTGAGGGCTTAGCTTCTATTCCTCTTCCAGCCACCTCTGCTGCCCTGCCTCCTCACCACAATGGATTCTTGCCCCTTGGAACTGTAAGCGCAAATAAACTCTTCCTTCTATAAGTTGCTTTTATCAGTGCTTCTATCACAGTAACAGAAAAGTGACTAATATACACATACACGTAAAAATAATAAATAAATTGTAAATCTTAAAAATAATCAACTAGTATTTGTGCTCAAGCAGTATTTAATCTCTAATTTTGATTTTCTTATGCATTTATTTTGATGGTGTAGTTGGTTTGGACATGTGGATGTTTGATAATTCGTTGTTTATTGACCAATCCACCTTAATTTCTTTATCAGGTTATAAAATTCCATCAAACGCATTTTAAATTTGGTTTATTTATGTTTATGTGTATGAGTGTTATGCCTACATGTAAGTGCACCCATGTTGTACAGTGCCCACGGAGGACAGAAGAGGGTGTTGGATCCTCTGGAACTGGACAACTGTTAGCAGCCATGTGAGTGCTGGCATAAGAACCTGGGTCCTCTGCAAGAACAGTCAGTGCTCTTAACCGCTGAGTCATCTCTCCAGTCCCATCATCAAACACATTTGCAGGCCACTTAAAAACTGCTCTGCTCAGTGCTAGATATTTATTAGCATCCAGTTAGATTCAAGACTCGGCCTTTCTTTTCTTTATTGGCCAGCAGACAGCCCCAGAGCTGTGGCCTACTTCCCAGAATTATCTCTCAAATTTACTTGGATCTGTGTCTGGTCCTATGTTTCCTGATTTTGGACTAGTGTCTGTTGATTCTGCCTGGCTTTGGACTGGTGTCTGGGATTCTTCATAATACTATTGCAGGTATGTTTCTAAGTATTTTTCCTTTTTCCTAAAAGAAGATTTATTGTATTTTTAAGAGTGCTTTGAACCATCTGTGGCTATCTCTTGCCACATGGTGAAAAGCTTAAAACCTTTAACATTGTGTATATGAGCATTAGAATATGGGTGTGACCTGCATTCTCCCACTTAGCAAGAGTTCCAGTCACACTACACAGTGTGATTTTGCTACAGTGTGCTAGGATCTTTTCAATTCTGTGTTTGTGCTTAAAATTCCATCACACATGTTTTAAATTTGATTTATTTTATGTGTATGAGTATATTGCCTGCATGTAGGTAGGCGCACCCTTATCTTACAATGTGCATGGAAGTCAGAAGAAGGCATCAGATCCCCTGGAACTGGAGTTAGGGACAGTTGTTAGCTGCCATGTGGGTGCTGGGCATTGAACCCGGGTCCTCTGCAAGAGCAGCTAGTGCTCTTAACCTCTGAGCCATCTCTCCAGCCCCCATTTGACTCATTTTCAACCTCACTTTAGTACTTAATTGTAAGTACTTACTTCACAGTTGGAAGACAACCAGATTCCTAAACTTCTTCTCCAATCTGCTTGTCTGAAGCTTTATCTTGAGTCATGTCTTACCATCTGTGTGTGTCTTATCTCTAATGCACTGCTAAATATACAGGTGGTACTCAGTACTTTTGGAGTTAATTCTTTTATGTGAGAAGCACAAAACAAATGCAGGATCTTATGTTTCCACCTATAATCAATTTCTGATATAGATGGAGAGGCAGGAGGAAAAAAAGTAGCAGCAGCATTGTGTAGAATTTGCTATTCATAACTGTATCATATTGCATGTTACCTAGTCTGCACTGGGAAAAACTGAGGGAAGTTAGGTAAACTTCCATAACTGAGAACTTAGAAACAAATATCTATGGCGTCTGATCTTCAAAAATAGTGGTTACAACTCAACTAACAAAAACCTTCTGTGCTTGACCCCATGAAGAGATTTTTAGGCCCTAACATAAAACTTAGTGATGTAATTGCTCTATGCCCAGTTATGTGGGTTCTTGACCATGGCAGACTAGACCCAGCAAGGCAGACTAGATACAGTGATGTGGGAATGAAAGTGCTGCCATAATGGGGCATGTGGGCAGTTGCAAGAAGTAAGTGGTAATCATGGCTTAAAATGGAAGAATCAAGAAAATCAGGCGTAAGAAATACAAAGGTAGATGTCTGAGGTGTTTAACAACTAAAGGGAAGAATCCTGCTTACCTTGACACCATTTTAGGATACATAGCACGGAACTCCAGTGATCATAGGTATGTCCCTTATCACCACCTAACATGGGTTCACTTTAGTTTACAGTTGTCTAGAATGCGTGTCATACCTTTTAGAAGTTTACAAGCACATCCGTTTCTTTCCAACATGGATGTCCCTTTTCTTTTAGGTTTCATTTTAGACATGAAGAAACAAATCTGTCAAGTATGAGTTTTGTATATATGATGTGGGCTGATAGATGGATTGCTTTTTGTATTTGTAGGCTGAGAGCAGTTTCAGTGCAGAAGAGGAGGAAAAGCTTCAAGCTGCATTTTCTTTAGAGAAACAAGATCTTCACCTGGTTCTTGAAACAATATCCTTTGTTTTAGAACAGGTATTTTTATTGCTTTAAATTTCCTGTGTACTGCATACTTGAATTGCTTTGATACCTGTAATATTATGTTTTTCATATAGTTATGCAAGATGGAAGCTATCAATATATTTCAATCAAGAATTTCATTATAGTGAAACATCTTTGAATGTATGCTTTCTTTCCATAGTATTTCATTCTACAAAAGAATGTGAAATAGCATTAGTAAATATTTGACGATGTGAATTGAGACTTCATATGATTTTAATTCATTTTTACTTGGTATACTAATTTGGATAGGCAAACACTTTTTATTTAAGAAGTTAAATGATTGGGTGTCATTTATTCATTAGGATGATGCATATTTAGAATATTTTCATATTTTTTTGCTATTGAGTTTCCTGTCTATAGCTTTTCTTCTCGTATCTACTTCATTATTTAGGTTTCTATTCAAGGCACATCCCTTCAGCCTGAATCCCTTACACCTGGTGTCCCCCTTTATTTGCATTTCTTTGATCCTTGGCTCATCCAAGGGCACAGTATTAGTCTTTCATTATTTCACGTGTCAGTTTTGTTGCTTTCATCAGTTTTTGAATACATTGAGGGTCAAGATCTCATTTTTTGTGCCTCTTGTACAAACCTAGCATATGACTAGGCTTAAAATAGATTTTTAGTAAATTCCTATTGGTTAATGAAATAGGATGCTTCTGAAATAAAAGATTCAATGGTATTGCTGCTTTATGGGCATTCTACGAACAGATTCTACTAGGACAAGCTGCCAGGCATCTTGATGACCTCATGTGGATTATAGATTGTACCTCTCACTGTGACAAGATACCTGACAGGCAACTTCAGAGAGGAAGGATTTATTTTGACTCACAGTTTGGTTCTAGTGGGGAGGAGGGAGCAGATATGGTGATGTTCACAGTGGTAAAAACAGCTTATGTCCATGGTGGCAGGAGCCTGAGGTATCCTACTCATATTTTAACAAATCAGGACACATATAGAGCTTGCACTGTAGTTGGAACTGGGTGTAGCCCATATGGCCTGCTCTCCAGTGACCCAGCTAGGCCCTACCTCCTAAAGGTTCCACAGCCTCCCCAAGTAGTCACCAGCTAGGGACCAACTGTTCAAACACTCTAGTCTATGTAGAACATTTCACACTGCAACCATCACCTCTTACCCTTTGCTTCCATATGCTCACAACTGTCTCATAATAAAACATGAATTCAGTCTAAATTCAAACATCTCCATAGCCTTAAGTTCTAACACTATTCGAAGACCAAAGTCCCTTCAGAGCTGTAGGTCTTAGGTCTGATCTCCTGTAAAACTGAAAATCAAGTTACATACTTCTAATATACAATAATACAAAATAAATATTTGCGTTCCAAAAGGTAGGAATGGTAGGATACCACAGAAAAGACTGGACCAAAGCAAGACCAACACACTGGGGTAAACACCAAGCCCTGTAGTTCCGTGTCTAACATCTGGAGCTCATTACATAGCCCCATCTCTATAGCTCTGCTTACAGTCACGTACATGGACCTTTGTCTTGGGCTGGCTTCACTTGGTGTCTACAGTGTTCCTCATTAGAAGTCCTGTGTTCCTGGCATCCAGAATGCTGTTGTCTCTATTGCAACTTAGGGTTCACCTTCACAGCTTCATGGACAACCCACTCTCGACTCTATATAGGGAATCTGACCTGGCTCCACATTGCATGGCCTCAGTGACTTTCTGGAACCTTGATGTGAGCCTCCATAATGTTGTAACTCTTGAATTTGGCATGCCTGCAAAACCAACAATGTGTAGATGCTGCCCCCAGTTTCTTCTGTAAGCTTGAGATGTAGCTTAGTATCCTTTCACACCACAGCTGGAGAATCCTTTGTGTGTGTGTGTGTGTACATGAGCTTTTAAATCTGGGTGAACTAACCTAGGTAGCCTTTTTCCATCTGTGTACTCTGAAGGCTGTCTTTTTTTTAGGTACTTTAAAAAAAAGTACTATTCTTTCAAACAAATGTTTACCACATGAGTTTTCAGTTTTAGAACCTAGAGCCTTTAGTGTGGGATCTTGATCCCAAGACCTGATTCCTATTACATTTCGCTAATCTCTTTAGCAGTTACAACCTCTTTGTCTGCACCCACCTTGTCTGCTCTGCCTTTAATTTCAACTGGTCCAGGTCCTTTTCTCACATTTCACGTCTTTCAGTTTCTGCGTTCCCTCACTAACCATGTTTAAAGGCAGTGAGCAGTAACTATTCCATAGACTGAATGCTAATGTTGAAATTTCCTCCACCAAACAAATTAGTTCATTACCTTTGAATTTAACCTCATTCGAATTTTCCAGACACGTGCAGAATGTAGCCCCATGGTTTTGTCAGAATGTAACATGAATGACTTTTAGTCCAGATTCTGATAGAGTCTTTGTTTACCTCTGAGCATAGCCTTTACTGTCTGCATTTCTGTCAGCATTCTGGTCCACACTGACCAGAATCACCCAGTAAACTTTCCTTACAGCATTCTGGATCTTGTAGCTTCAAACTCTTCCATGTATATTCCTTAAGTACACTAATTTCAAGGCCTACAAACCCCATGGTTGGATTTACCACAGCAACAGACTCACTCCTAGTACCAATTTTCTGTGTTATTTGCTGTTGTTGTTATTGCTTATGACTTAAGAGAGGAAGAATTTATTTTGGTTCATGAAGTTTGAAGTGATACACGCCATCGTGGTGGGAAGGCATGGAGTTGGGAGTGGCTCATGGCTGGGGCGATGGGACCATGAGGCCATTGGTTACCTCACATGAGCAGTTCGGAAGCAGAGAGCTCAGCCTGGAATCACGCATAAGGCCTTTTCCCATGGTCTTATATCTGCTAGATAGGCCCCATGATTAACAGTTCCACATCTTCCGAAGAGAGTGGCACAAGCTGGGACCTGATGTTGAAACATCTTGGACATGTGAGGGACATTTCCCTTTCTAACCTTGAAATAGACACAAAGATGACCGATTCTTAAGCCTGCTGAAATTTCAATGGAAGAATACTTGAACAAGACAGCACAGTTTGCGGTTTATGGGAAGGGTTGTTCTCAAACAGGTTTTGTTGTTAAAATTATTGTAGAATATTCTTTCATTTCATATGCTCTAGAAGATTGGTAGATGAAGGTAGTTTTGAGAGTTTCTTGGGAAAAGTTTGTTTGCTGAGAAACAAGACGATCACAATCTGAATAATTAAGTGAAATAAATGAACTGAAATTATATGAGATAGTTTTAGGATTGTTTAAACCACAGGCAAAAATGAAAGCATTTGGCTTGAGCAATTTAGGCCTTCTGACCCTGAATCTTAGCTCTTGCTTGTTTTATTTGGTTTTTACAAAACTGTTGAAAATGCCTGTTTGTTTGTTTTAAATGACTTAAAAATAATTTTGTATTGATCCCAGTTCAAGGTCTTTGCATGAACATGAAGGATATGTGTAATTTTTCTTATGTTTAATAGGCAGTGTATCACAATGTGAAGCCAGTAGCTTTGCAGCAGCAACTGGAGAATATTCATCTTACACAAGACAAAGCAGAAGCGTTTGCCAGTGCTTGGTCAGCTATGGGGCAAGAAACCGTCGACAAGTTCAGGCAGAGGATTCTGGCTCCCCACAAGGTACAGCGCATACAGCGCATACTATTCCAAAGCTATTTTTCAAAAAGTGCAGCATAATATCTAGTTTTCAAAGTGACATTATTTTGTTGAGAGGTAAAGTGAAACAAAAGAGAGGTGTACAGAATATTTCTATGCAGTTATCCTCACATTAGCATATGTTACTACAATGGGATTTGATTTTGACAGTTCCATACACCTTCATAACTTAGGAACAGGAATGAGGCAGTCTTTTTTGTTTTTGTTTTTTCTTTTAAAATGGAGTTACCTCCAGGGAGCAAAAAGGTAAAGAATTTGTAAACATGGGCTAGTCTCTGGCAGTTTAAAAAAATTTATTATTGATTTGCTAGTCTTAGCCATTAAATTTTGAAAATAGAACTTGTATCTTAGCTATCCTAAAGAAAAATTGTGTAATGCTACAAACTTTTACATATTAAAATACTCTTAGGTTTGGGTATTACAGATGTTTCCAAGGAGACTTTAAAACAGGGCTATTGACGTGAGTCATATTCTTGGATGTTCATGGTAGATCACATTTTCTTGAGGGATAACAATTACATTATAGAAAGTCACACAGTTTCTCAGCTGCTGTGTCATTAGTATTTAAAGCACAACATTTCTTTTTTCTTTTTTTAATTGATTTTTTTTATGTGTGTATTTCATACAGAACATCCCAAATAACCTTATTCATCTTTATACCCACATCCCAAATGGCACCCACCCATAGGCTGCCCCCCCCACCCCCATCCCCCAGTGGAGCCCATGTACTCTCATCCCTGTCTGGATACATATTCACTTACAAGGATTTGGTGCTACGATCCACATATGAGGAAGAACATATGTCGTTTGTTTTTCTGAGTCTGTGTTACTTCACTTAGTATTACAGTTTCTAGTTCCATCCATTTACCTGCAAATTTCATGATTTCATCTTTCTTTACTGCTGAGTAAAACTCCATCGTATATATGAACCACATTTTCATTATCCACTAGTCAGTTGAGGGACACTTAGGTTGCTTCCATCTCTTAGCCATTGTGAAAAGAGCAGCAACAAACATGGATGTACAAGTGTCTCTGCAATAGGATGAGTCGCTTGGGTATATGCCAAGGAGTGGTATAACTGGGTCAAATGATAGGTTAATTTTCAGTTTTTAAGAGTTCTCCACACTGCTTTCCATAGGGGTTGAACCAGTTTTATCATTTGTTTTCTTGATCTTAGCCAGTCTGACTGGGGTAAGGAGAAATCTTAAAGTGGTTTCAATTTGCATTTCCCTAATTATTAGTGATGTTGAACACCTTTTAAGGTGCTTCTTATCCATCTGTGATGGTTTGAATGAAAATGTCCCCCATAAGCTCCAACTATTTGGACATTTTGTCCCCAGATGGTGGTGCGGTTTTGGGAAGTTTTCAAAGGTGTGGCTATCCTGGAGGAAGCACATCACTAGGGGTGGGCTTACAGAGTTCTTAAGCCTTGCAGAATCTCCAGTTGCTCTCTTGCTTCCTGTGCCTGTGTGATGATATGAGAGCTACACTTCTGTTGCTCCTGGTCCAGCCACCTCTAGCCACCATGCCTCCCTGCCATGACAGGCGCTAATTCCCCTGGAACTGTAAGCTCAAATAAACTCTTCTGTCTATAAATTGCTTGGGTCAGAGTTTCTATCACAGCAACAGAAAAGTGACCAATATACCATCCTCATTTCTTCTTTTGAGAACTCTCCGTTCAGGTCCTTAACCCATCTTTTAATTGGGTTACTTCCATTCTTGATTCTTTGTTATTTGAGTTCTTTATATATTCTGGATGTTAAACCTTTTTCAGATGTGTCACTGGTGAAGATTTTTTCCCATCGTGTGGGTTTTCTCTTCTCTTCCTTGGTTGCTTCTTTTGATGTACAGAAGCTTTTTAGTTTGATGAGGTCCCAGTTGTTGATTCTTGACCTTATTTCCTGAGCAACTGATGTCCAGTTTAGAAAATCCTTTCCTACACCTATGTCGTGTAGGTTACTGCCAATCTTCACATTGAGGTCTTTGATCCATTTGGAGTTGACTTTTGTGCAAGGTGAAAGATAGGGGCTTAGTTTCATTCTTCTACAGGTGGAGATCCAGTTTTGCCAGCACCATTTGCTGAATATGCTGTCTTTCCTCCAGTGAATGTTCTTGGCCGCTTTGTCAAATATCAGGTGACTGAAATTGCATGTACTCATATTTGGGTCTTCAATTTTGTTTCATTGATCTCTGGGTCTATGTTTGTGCCAGTGCCATGTTGTTTTTATGACTATACCTCTGTAATATAGTTTAAAATCTGGTGTAGTAATCCCCGGAGCATTACTCTTAGTGATAAGGGTTGCTTTGGCTATCTGGGGTCTTTTGTGCTTCCATATGAATCTTAGAATGGTTTTTTTCCAATTCTGTGAAGAATGTCATGGGGATTTTAATTGGCGTTGCATTGAATCTATAAATGGCTTTTGGAAGGTTGGTCATTTTCACAATATTAATTCTTCAGTCCATGAGCATGGGAGGTCCTTTCATCTTCTGATGCCTTCCTCATTCTCTTTAACAATTTAAAAATTACATTGTAGAGATCTTTGGTGTTTTTGGTCAGATTTATTCCGAGATTTTTTTTTTTTTTTGCAGCTATTATGAAGGGGAGTGTTTCCATGTGCTCTTTCTCTGATTGTTTGTTATTGGTATATAGAAAGGCTACAGACTTTTAATTTCCTTCTTTTGTCTTATTACTCTTGCAAGAGTTTCAAGCACTGTGTTGAAAAGAAGTGGAGATAGTGACAGCCTTGCCTGGTTCCTGATTTTAATGGGAATGCTTTCAGTTTTTCTCCATTTAGAATGGTATTGCCTGTGGGTTTGTTGTATATAGCTTTAAATATGTTGAGGTACATTCCCTCTAGTGCAGTTCCTGCTAGAACTGAACATAAATGCATGTTGAATTTTGTTCAAGGCCTTCTCTGCATCTATTGGGATGACCATGTGGTTCTTGTCTTTGAGTCCACATTTATATGATTTATGATGTTTATTGACTTAATGTATATTGAACCATCCCTGCATCTCTGAAATAAAGCCAGCTTGATCATGGTGGATGATCTTTTTGATGTGTGTCTGTATGCGGTTTGGTTCTATAGTTTTCTTTTTTGGTTTTATCTTTTTTTAAGAATATTTTATTATTTTTATTTTATGTATATGAGTATATTGCCTGCATGTATGTGAGCGCACTCACGTCGTGTGATGCCACGGAGGTCAGAAGAGGGCTTTGGAGTCCCCTGGAACTGGAGTTACGGATGGTTCGTAGCCACCATGTGTGTGCTGGGAAGCCAACCTGGGTCCTCTGTAAGAGCAGTCAGTGCTCTGAACCGCTGAGCCATCTCTCCAGCTCCTTTTGGTTGTGTCTTTACCTGGCTTTGGTATTAGAGTAATACTGGCTTCATAGAAGGAATTTGGAAGTTCTCCCTCCATTTCTATCCTTTTGAATAACTTAAGTAGTATTGGATATAGACCCTTTTAAATGTCTGATAGAATTCTGCTGTAAATCCATCTGGTCCTGGGCTCTTCTTTGTTGGGAGATTTTATATTACTGTTTCAATTTCCTTAAGTGTTACGGTTTCTGTTGTGTGTTATGGATCACTTCTTGGTTTAGTTTTGGTGATTCCCATACTTTTAGATACCTGTCCATTTCTTTTAGGTTTTCAAATTTAGTAGCGTATAGGATTTAAAGTATTCCCTTATAATGTTCTGGCTCTTTTTGGTGTCTGTTGTGTTGTTTCCCCTTGTGTTTCTGATTTTGTTGATTTGGAGGTTCTTTCTTTTGGTTAACTAGGCTAAGTGTCTGTCAATCTTGTTTATCTTTTCAAAGAACCAGCTCTTGGATTCATTGATTTTTTTGTATTGTGTTCTTTGTTTCTATTTCATTCATTACTGCCCTGATTTTTGTTATTTCTTCTTGTCTGCTGGGTTTGGGTTTTATTTGTTGTTGCTTTTCAAGTATCTTAAGTTGCAATGTTAAGTCATTTATTTGCCTGTTCTGATTTTTTAATGTAGGCACTTAGAGCTATAAACTTCCCTCTAAGGACAACTTTTAGTGTGTCCCAGAGATTTTGTTCTGTTGCATTGTTCTTTTCATTTAGTTCCAGGAATATTTTTATTTCTTAATTTCTCCTTTAACCAATTCATCATTCAGGAGTGTGTTGTTTAATCTCCATGTGTTCTTGTAGTTACTAGGGTTTCTTCCAGTGATGATTTTAAGCTTTATTGCATTGTGATCTGATAGAATGCATGGAATTATTTCAGTCTTTTTGTATTTGTTGAAGCTTGTTTTATGCCCCAGTATGTGGGTTGCTGAATAGAAAGTGTATTCTTTGGTGCTTGAATGGAATATTCGGTAGATGTCTGTTAGGCCCATTTGATGTACAACATTAATTCAGATGTCTCTCTGTTAATTCTCTGTCCTGTTGACCTATCTAATGGAGACAGTGGTGTATTGAAGTCCCCTACTATTAATGAGTTGGGATTAATCTGGGTCTTAAAGTCCTGTAGTATTGTTTTTATGAAGTTTGGTACACCAGAGTTTGGTGAATATATGTTCATGATTGTAATATCTTCTTGATTCATTGTTCCTTTGATCAAAATGATGTGGCCCTCTTTGTCTCTTCTGATTAGTTTTCAAACTGTCAGATATTAGAATTGCAACTTCTGCTTTTTTCTTAGTACCATTTGCTTGGAATATTTTTTTCCATCCTTTCATCTTATGGTAGTGCCTGTCCTTGAAAGTGAGATGGGTTTCTTACAGAAAGCAAAAAGATGGATTTTGTTTCTTAATCCATTCAATTAGTCTTTGTCTTTTGACTGGGAAGTTCAGTCCATTGATATTTAAAGTTAGTTATGAAAGATGTGTATTGATTCCTGTTGTTTTGATTTCTGTTTGCATTCTTGGTGTAACTGTGCATTTCCACAGTTATACCTTGTTTCTTTCTGTTACTCCTTGGGTATAGTCATTCCTTTCT